TAACACAATATGGCCATATGGTGTAACTGAGTCCCCATATTAGTAGATGATTTTAAGTAGCCTTGTAAATTTTACAACTGTATTTTTTGTGTGTTAACTGATCCTTAATCTGTATTTTGTATAGAAAGAAGAGGTTAACCATTTTATATTGTTATTATTCAGGACCAAGTTACAACTATAGAAAGGGGATATTTAGCGGATTGAGCTTACAATCTTACACTTGCAGGTGACGTGGTTTGACTTGAGTTCCTGGGTGCTGAGATGTTACTGTAGTGGAATGGACGTGTGCCAAACACTTTTATTCCCTTTATTGGCTGTCCGTAACCCCCCGTTATAAACTTCCACCTTTTGTGTGTTTTCCCTCTGTTATTTCGGGTGGTTCCTCTTTGGCCGTTTGGGAGACTTCATACGAACAGAATCTCTGTCTCCCTAACGAGGACCACATCTGTACCCCATTAGAACGTTGACACCTACCACTCAAGTGCGAAACCGCAAGGGAAACAGTTAATAAGTGCTTCCCCTGGGTGGCCGCCATTTCATATAACCGAACACGTGGCAGAGAGTATGGTGACCATCTTGTCTCCCGAACGTGGGCAGCGGTACTTGGTCGTTGAGTGTCTGGAACTCTTTTCGGGTAGGCACTTGCATGAACGCTGTTAAACCTTAGACCACTGCCCGTTCCAGTTCCTGACCACCTACACGAACGACGTTCGGGAGATATGAACTACCGAAAAGGGTGTCAGGGTTCTTACCTGAAGTTGGAGTTTGTAGTGCAGATATGTTTGCTCACCCTTGTAGATCGACACAGTCCAAGGTGATCTGGAAAGAAGCCACCTGGACTGTGAATCTGTGCATGGGGGCTGTGAAGGAGGCTCTTTAGAACAACAGTACTCCTCATGGGTTTCACTATCCGTATCAAGAAAGTCCTTGTAGTCAAAGTTCCCAGTCTGGAGTTCCTTTTCAGCGTGGGGTTCCTTAGTACCAGCTTCTGGTACAGCTGGAAAGCAGTCAAGGTCTTCTATAATCTGGGTGCAGGCAGTAAGTACTTCTTGTACCTCGGCAGGAGCGGAGTTCGCAGCTAGCAATGCCATTTTGATCATTTGTAAATCCGTTATGCAGACTTTAGTACCATTAGAGGCAATTCGCAGGTAGGTCTTCTTTGGGCTGGCAGTATGTAGTGATGGTATCAGTAGGAGTAGATGCAAATGACTCTAAAGCAGTAGATGGAGAATTTCTCAGGGAGGACAAGCATGGGCAGGCATGACGACAGCTTCGAAATTTTACAGGTTGGCAGGCAGCGCTCATAGGACGAAGAATGGTAGTAGCCAGTCGGAGAGCTTGAGGTCTAGGTAGACGAACAGGGCAATGAGAGATGAAATGTCCCCTTTGTCCACAATAAAAACAGAGGCCATAGCTTCTCCTTCCGTCTCTTTCTTCATGCGTCACTCTGAATTGGACGAGTCCTATTTTCATAGGTTCCTCAGGGTCGAGAGGAATATTGGTTACCTCTGGAGTCTTCCTAGGAACCGGATCATAATAAGGCAACAAGGACCTGTGTTCTTGGTACTTGGTCTCCCTGTTTCTAGGAAACTAGGATCCTCTGGGACGTGGCACAGTGGTTTTGCTAGAGGTCTTGCATTGTGAGTCCATAGCAGTCATAAAGGATTCCCAACTGTCAAGGACAGAACTCTTAGCCTGCAACATCTGGTGTGCCCATGTTTTGATCTTTCCAGGAAGCAGATTGATAGACGCTCGGACCATTATAAAGTCGGTAGCATAAGTCCGAGGCTTCAAGGCAAATACCAATTCGCAGTCCACCTTAAAATACTTAAAGGATGTACGGCTACCATTAAATTTCTCAGGCATAATGACGAATGACTCAGGATAAGCAGTTTCCGTGACTGAGCATACTACGCCTTTAAGAATTATGACTTCTCGCTGCAACTCCGAAACAGTCTGGGCACATTTCTGTGGACTCCATGATGATCAAGTCTTTTGTCAGGGTTCTTACCTGAGATTGGAGTTTGTAGCGCAGATATGCTTGCTCACCCTTGCAGATAGACACAGTCCAAGGTGAACAGGTAAGAAACCATCTGGACTGTGAATCTGTGCATGGGGGCTGTGCAGGAAAGGTGATTCCAATGCAGTACCGACAAAGACAAAAACAGTAGTATAGTCGAGGGATAGCCGAAGTCAAAGGATGCCAGAGGTCAGAATAAACTAAGTCAAGGGTTTCCAGAGGTCAGAATAAACGAAGACAGAAGCCAGGGTCAATTAGGAGTATAAGTTCAAGAGACTAGAACACAGGAACTGAACACATACACCATGATCAAAGACTTAAGAACGCTCCCAGGGTGAGGCAGTGCTTATATACCCAGCTGATGACTGATCTGTCTAAGGTGAAGCACAGACATTGACCATAGAAGAAGTCCGCCCCCCCGTGCTGCAAACATAGCCTGGTAGAACAGGGCTATAAGTACTCCAAAGAATAGGAACCGCTGTGGCTGAAAGACAGTATTGCAGGCCCAGGATAGCAAAGAACCCAGGTGCAAATCTCTGTTGGGCACCTCTGAGGAGGCTATGCCTGGCCATCTGTATGGCACGATAGGAACCGTGACGCTGGGGGAGCATTCATATCCTGAAATAAAGAGATTCCCTTGTATGGTATTCGCACAGGAGCCTCACAAATGGAGAATGGCCGGTCAAAACCAAGCTATTCCCGTTCTGCCAAACCGATCTGAGTGATTCAGGGAATGTTTTTCATGGGGTTCTGGTGTATGGTTGAAATATTTTTGGGGTACAGGCTATTTTGTTTTATTTTCTCTACCTGAGATAATTAAATTAAAGGAGTTTTCTCAGGCAATCATCTCTCAGGCACAGAGGATCTTGAGATTGAAAACCCTGCATTCTTGTATGTGGAACTCCTTGCATGGGACTAGGCATAAAAGCTGTGTGTGAAAAAAACCTCTTAGTAGGTCGAAACGTTGCTGCCTTTTTGTTTCATTAAATCTCCCTGCAGCTTTAATACTCTGAGTGCCTGGGAATTTCTTTGTTGCCTTAACGTGTTGGGATTGCTGGTCCTGCTCCGGAGCACCGGTGGCTCTTGGGATTGAGTGCGGTTCCTATAATCACCTTTGCAATAAAAGCTGTGTATGTGACAATAAAGTTCAGTTGTACCCTCAGAGCTGTGTGTCGTCCAGTTGCTGGGGAGGAGGTGGGAGATTCTTGCATTACTCTAGTTGTTCCTGACTGTTCCCTTGGATTGTTTTACTTGTTCCTGACTGTACTTTGGTATAACTAGCGGAGGAGAGTCCCTGCCAGGACTAGGGCTCCGCTACAGTTACCACTGCTCTAACCAGCCTATAAATATTTAGAGTTAAGGAAAGGAGATTTTAGAAATGGTTCTGTACAATAAAAACATTAAAGATCTAGAATTATCTGCCTAAGGAGGTTGTTTTATCAATTTCCACACATATTGTTAAGCGATAGCTGGATGTTTTTTTAAGAAAATCAGAATATTCAGGAGTGTAATAGTTATTATGTTAATAAATCCTTGTTAATCCAAGGGGAAAATCTGACTGCATTTTTGGAGTCAAACTATTTTTTTTTCCCATTAATATTTTTGAGGCCTGTATTAGCATGTAACTATGTAATCTGACTATACTAATCAAACTAAGGTTTAGCAGAAGCCCAAAAATGCAGCAGGTAGCTGGATACAATAACCAAAGCTGAAATACAGATAGAGATTAAGTAGATATGTGGTCAGGATAGCCAAAGGTCCGGTCGGGTAGCACAGGTTCATAAATGATAAAAGAGGCAGAGGGTCAAATACCAGGTAATTAACGTCACAGGTTTGGAATACTGTGTGGGGACCTGACAGACTAGGACCAAACAAAATTCATAAACAAAAACTTTTTTTTTTTACTAATGGAAAAAGAACCAGTGATGCCATATATTTATTATAGTTTCCATTTAAATACTTATTTCATATTTTCTATACATTTTCTTATTCATGACTGATTGTGTTTCTTTCTTCTAGTCACTCCTCGACATAGTTCTCAACAGAGTAGCCAAGTTGTAAGGTAAGGGGGGATCGTTGATAGCACTGTTTATTACACAACACTAACAAAATGAATGATCAGTGAAATATTTTGGTAAAACAAGGCTTTTTTATGATCTTTGGCTTTCTTCCAGTCGTTCATCACCCATGGATTCAATATCTCACATAGAATCTCGCTCTGGAGGATTTAGTGTAAGTTTTTTTGGTTACTAGAGTCACAATATACACTCAAATATATTCAACTTAAAACCTTGTTAAATATTTATGGAGTAAATCATTTATTTTCTACAGCCATTGTCATTCTCACAATTTGAGTTCCACTTTAAGATGCTTTCAGTATGTCTGATGATATATAGTGTTATTTTCATAAAATTCACAATAGATGTTTTTGGTGAAATAGAATATTATGCATGGCAAGACTTCTGTAAAGACCCATTATATATATTTTTCCCTTAACTTTATGTGGACCCTGTATCCATTTTAAAGTTGACTTTGTACCTGGCCCTCCGCTCCCACAATGCAATCTCATTAATAAGGTGTGTCTTAGACATTTGTCACGTCACTCCGTTTCTATACTCCCTTGCAGCACCAGCTAGGGAAATATCATACTAACCACAGCACACGCACTGTAGTTGCTGTGGGTGGACAGCAAAGAAACCTCCTGAATTTGTTAATCGTTTTTTCTCCAAATCTACATATTTGCTAACAAAACCGCATAAATAAAAAGTAGCATGACAGTGTAATTTTAATGTTATCTATTACACTGACTGTGTTTGACAAATAATTCTCCATGTTTCCCAGCCCTTGTAGTCTTTGACAAAGTTGTTATGTGTGAGTTTGGTTTGTAAATTTACATTATTGTTTAGTGGATTATTGTTTACAATTTTGTGTCCTGAAATAAGCAGTAAATGGCTAATTGGATGGATTAAAAATATTGCAGCTTGTAAAAAGAGTCCTGAATTTGTATCTGTGACGAGACCAATCTCACCACTGTGCATTGGAGGAACCTGGTTATCCACCTGCTGCCTTTAGACTATGGCCCCATGTTGAAACGCTTGACTTTCCCCTGCAAAGACACGAAAGCCGGTTCATTCGGTACTTGCCCTATTTGAACATTGATACCCCAGATAGCTATACCATGGAGCCCATTCGTATAACGAAAGACTATGTGAAAGACTTTGGTTCCATGGCAGTTGAACTGTATGTATGTTATCTGAGCACCATTCAGTAATAATGTGCGCTCAGACCTAAGCTATCTGGGGGTATGTTGAATGTACCTGTTTTATGCTATAGCTGTACAGTTATATATTTTTATGTATTTTATTGTCTTTTGCTACCATGTGTTCAATGGAGTTTTGCCTCTGTCCTTGGAGATAATTGGATTACTTCCCAACTATCTCCAGGATAGAAGACACTGTGGAACTGGTTTTGGGCAGAAAAGCCATGCTTCATTTGGTCACAAAGAACTTCAATCTATCTTTTGACCCACTGGACCAATTTGTATGATTTTGACATATGTTTGTATTTGGAGTATGCTGATTCTGAAAATGTAATGTGGAAAAACTGTATTTCTCTGCCTGTGATAATTACATTAACCCATTATGTAAGGTAATTGTATCACAGGCAGAGGGGAGGATTTTGTGTGGGAGTGTCTGAGTGTATTGTACGTGTTTATTGGTTGTTTTACAAAATCCTGTGGGTGGTACTAATGTGTAAGAATGTGTATATAAGAACAATAAACCCACAGCTCTGCTGTTCCTGTTTTGACCCTCAACACAGAGCCTTGTCTCGTTCTTGGGGGGATTTATTGTATGCTGTTCCAGTTCGACTGCTAGGAGTGTATACCTATTCGTATGGTTCCGGTACGGCTGTTTACAGCATTCATATGGTTTCCTGTTCGGCAGATTGGTGTCTTTGGTAGCTGCCTGTATATCTGGAAGGGGAATATTCTCTAAACAGCGTTTAATCCCTTTTATGCCCGGGGTGCCGTTACAGTATCTGATAACAATTCTGAGTTCGGTAGGTTATGCACAAAATCTTGAGTAGGAAAATGGTTTAAGGCAGCTGTTGCACTCATCCACCTATCCTCAATCCCTTAATCTCATCTAGTGATTATTCATTATTTAGTGATACTCAGGAAATGTAACGTGAAAGCAGTAATATTTTGTTATGGAATCAAAATCAATACCGAAATTAAAAAAATATACCATTGAGCATTAATGATTAAGCAATTCTGATAATAATTAACACATTTAATAAACTAATGAGTTTACTCACATTATTTGTGAGTTTACAAATAATTACAAGATGTCCAACCAGCAGTGTGACCTTCATTCTCTCAGACAAAGTCCAATTCTGAACATCCAATTCTAAATTATATGGAGAGATAACAGTATAAAGCGAATCATCATTTGATATTTCGCACCCTAAGCAGGGTGAGAAACCCTATCTGTGGGTTTTTTGCATTCTCAAATAGTATTACAGTCTTTATTATCTCTGCTGTTGTGCTTTTTTGTGAGATTTAGATGCTCTGCATCTATATTGCTCTTGTACACATTACAGTGTACTGGCTCAGACTGCACCGGTTCCTCATCTTGTTTCAAAAGTAACCTTGGGAAATTGTCATCCCTTATACTTGGGGTGCACAACATTTTTAGAGAGGGGACCAGATGACTGACTGAAATTCTTACTGGGAGGTGGGGGTTACTGCCATATGGGCTTGGGGAGATGGTTATGCTTGAATATTGGTAGTGATTATTTTGATGTCTGGTTGAAGTCTGCTGGATGAAATCTTTACAATTCTTTGTAGATATTTATGTAGGGTTCAGCCCTCATTCAGCCAGCCTGCTTGAAAATCACAGTGAGAAGCACGCAAGCGCCTCTAGCGGCTGTCAATGAGACAGCCGCTAGAGGAAATAGGGGAAGGCTTAACCCATTCATAAACATAACAGTTTCTCTGAAACTGCTATGTTTATGAAAAAATGGGTTAACCCTAGCTGGACCTGGCACCCAGACCACTTCATTAAGCTGAAGTGGTCTGGGTGCCTAGAGTGGTCCTTTAATGTAATTGCAATAACTAATCACTTACTGTTACAGTAAGACTGCATAAGAAATGGTACCTAATATAAGAAGCATATCAAAGAGACCACGTAGGAGCAAATATAATCAACGTGTATCAAAATACAAAAGTCAAAGAGTGTATAAAAGACTTTAGAAAAAGCAATGAAAAATAGCAGAAAAAGTGAGCAAATGTGAAGTGTATAACTATCAAACAAACAGTGAAAAAGCATGTGTAATACAATAAAGTGAATGTGCAACTATCATGTGAGGAAATGTGTGCTAAGAGTGTGATGTTATAGGGAAGGAAAATGGAGAGAAAAAATAGGGGGAGAAATGAGCAATGTGGGTCAAGATACCATCACCGCTGTATATATATGGCAATAATAGTCACAACCATAAGTAACATGCTATACCTAACTGCAAAGAACTGCCAAATACCAACGTTGCAGGCGGTCAAAAAATAAAGAAAAATTACAAAAACTGTAAAAACGAGAAACAAACAGAGCATAGAAATGTTAAACAGATGTATTGGACCGTGTATATCTGGAAATAACAAAGTAGTCAGTCAATCAGTTGGAGATGATATTATAATAGTGAGACCAAATTCCCTATATATAAATTAGTCAAAAAGGTATATACATATGACAAAAAACCCTGGATGATGCAAATATATATATAAATAAAAAAACACAAGATCCAGCGCACTCACCTATCCACTAAACAGCAACTTCAGTGTTGAAAGATTTTATTAGTTTTTTTAAAAACACATAATCTAGGCAAAAATAATGGGGGTTTAGTTACATTATATGATCATACATTGCATAAGCCTGCCACAACGTCAATGTACCCCATCTTTGGCAGGTCCTACACTAACAGCCTAATGTCTGCTCTTATGAGATTAACTACTTACTTGAGGAAAAAAATTCCATCTGGGGCTCTCTGCAGTACAAGGCTAAATAGGGCCCTGGGATGAGGCACCTGTGACAGGGAGGGGTGCAAAACCAAGGAGTTGGCTAGACTCCCAAATATATATAAATGAAACAAGGGGGGGGGGGTTGGCTGCACTCACCTGAACATGCATAAATGGGGGTGCTGCTGGGGGCCAAATAATACAAAACACAAAATCCTATCCACTAAACAGCAACTTCAATGTTGAAAGTCAACAGCCAACCCCCTTGTTTCATTTATATATATATATATATATATATAAAGAGATAATACTGGTGACCACTATAATGAGCTTTAATATATCAGGCTCAATTGTTGACTTGTTGGATACATTGGTTGAACTCTTATCAAATAATGAAACACAAACAAATCCACAATCACCTTTTACACAACTTAAAAAGAAAAGTACTTTTACCCATATTTGGCTGAATTTAAGTATATTGACTTGTTTTTGAAGCTGACTTGCAACGAGATAGATAACCTAGATAAAAAGGAGTTTGATGTTTTCCCATACAGTAACATTACTCCCCAAGAACGTGAATCTTTGAAACATCTACAAGGGATTGATGAAATAATTTTTAAACCCTCTGATAAATGTGGTAATCTTGTGATCCTCGATAGAAATGACTATGTGTCTATGGCACATAGGATACTTAAAGATGATGACACATATGAGATACTAAGTAATAATCCTACCAAAAGATATCTATCTGAATTAAAAACGATTTTGGATGAAGTCTTATCCCTGTCACTAATTTCTAAAGATGAATATTTGTTTATGTACATTAAAAATCCAGTAGTTGCAACTTTTTATTCGCTACCAAAGGTACATAAACAACAAGAATGTATGAGTGGTAGACCTATTGTTTCCAGTAATTCTAATTAACCCAGAATGTGAGTCTGTATGTTGACCAGATTATACGGAAGATGGTTATGGATCTACCATCATACCTAAGAGACACCAAACATACTTTGAAGGTATTCGATGGTGTTGGTCTTCCTTCAAATGCTATCCTGTGTAGTTTGGATGTAGAGGGTCTCTACAGTTCTATTCCACATGAAACTGGGTTGGCACATTTGAAAGCCCATCTTGACAACAATCCAACTACTTTTAGAAGGCACAACCAATTAGTACAAGACCTCATGAAATTTATCTTGACACATAATTACTATGTTTCAGGGTAAATACTACCACCAGGTGAGAGGGACAGCTATGGGGACGGCTTGTGCCCCCTCATATGCTAACCTCCACCTGGGGTGGTTGGAGAAAACTACTGTATTTGGCACCCACCTTACAAAGTATACCAAATACATTAACATTTGGAAACGCTATATAGATGATATTGTGATAGTGTGGACCAACACCATCGAACTCTTCAAAGAATTCGTCCACGCTGTAAATGACAACGATATCAATCTGAAATTGACCTTTGAAATTGGTGGCAAGTCTATTAACTTCTTGGATATCTCAATTATGATCACTGACCACGGGAATGTGACCACCACTCTTTTTAAAAAAACAACCTCAACAAATAATCTTCTAAATTGGGAGAGCTACCACCCACTCCCCTTGAAAAGAGGGATACCAGTGGGCCAATACCTACGTCTACGTCGAAACTGTTCCACGATTGAGGACTTTAAGAACAAAGCAAAGAGCTTAAAAGAACAGTTCAAAAGGAAAGAGTATCCCAATAGATGCCTGAAAAACGCATATCAGCGAGCTTTGATGACAGATAGGGAAACTCTCCTGGTTGATAAATGTACAAATGACAATACACAATTGATAAGATGCATAGGGAACTTCGATGCTGGGTGGCATCCAACACTCAAAATTCAAAAATGGATTTTGGCCACTTTTATGACAAGACCACCATCTACAGAAAGTTATAACACCATATGCATCGGTCACAGCAAGAAGAGGGAGAAACATCAAAGACATGCTAGTTCCAAGTCATCTACGGTCTCCATCTGTAACACCCACATGGCTTAAATCTCCAGTGTCTGGCACCAATGCGGTAGATATAAAGCATGCAAATTCATTCTTCGTCCATCTAAAAAAATCATGGACTCTACAAATACACATGACTTTGAGATTAAAACCTTTTTTAATTGCCAAACTGCTGGTTTGATTTATCTACTAATCTGC